CGGCGCTCCCCCCCGCCCCCCCCCCGCCGAGTGCCGCGCGCCCGGCGCTCCCCCCGCCAAGCGCGCTCCCCCCGCAAGCGCCCGTGCGCCATGTGCCCGGGGCCAGGCCAGCCCCGAGCACCTGGCGGGCGCATTGAAATGCCCCCGCGGGTGCCATGGCGCCCGCGGGCACCGTGTTGGGGACCACGGGGTTAGAGAATAACTTTCCAATTGTAGTAAAAAATTTAGTCTGTTCTGGAGGAGTTAAGAATACAGCAAGCTTACATGTCGCTTATACAACTGTGTGAGAATATCACATTGGGGGCAATGTGCTTTCACAACAGTTGTGCCAAACTCTGATATGCTCCTACCACAGCTCAACTATAACCTGTGATGGGGAAGCAGAAAAGTTCAGTAGCACTGGAGTATTCTCCCAACAATACTGAGTGACTGGAAATAACTGGGTGAGAGAGCTCATTCCTCAGTGACTGCTGCCATGTAATTTAATAGGGTGGCAGTATGTGTAGTTTTTCTTACTCTTGCTGGATCAGCACCAGTGTCTCCATATATTTTACAAGTGGGTTTCCTGATATTCTGAATTTTCTTTTAGTCTCTATCTGGGAGGGGGATTTTGTAGAAGAAAACAAATGTATTAAGCCGAAGAAGAAAAAAGTGTGGTGTTAAAGAATGTTTTTAATTTCTCAAATGATGAAATTTCAAACACAGCTATAATCCAGTAATAGGCTGATTTTTGCCAGTTCTCCATAAAGCCTATCTGTTTAATTTAACAATAAGAGACACCATCATGTGATACACTGACCCTGTCCTTTCTGGGTTACTTACTTCATGGTGTATTCTTTGACTGTACTTTACTCTGAACTTCTGATTTCTCCTTTTTTTTCAGATTTTACATTCAGTCAGTTTGAGAATTATTTTCCTGTTTTGGAATGCAAACCAAACTGTTTTTGTTTGTTCACCTTCTCTGATCCCAGGCTTATGGGCGTCTGGACTTGTTTCAGGGAAACTTATGTTGAAGCCAATTTTCTGATTGGTTTCTGTTACAAATGGTTAAGTGTTAGCTTCTCCATGTTAAACATCCTGTGACACAACTCACTAGTTTGGACACTAAGAAATTCTATAAAGTGTTATTTCTGAGGTTTTTTTTAAGTCTACAGAGGTTGTGGAATCTCCATCATTGGAGATGTTTAAACAGGGGCAGATGAGAGTTTTGCGGTGCCCAGGGCAGCACAATTTCGCGGGGGCCCCCCTTTGGAGACAAAATAGAAAAAAGGTGTCAAATGCGCAAATTGAAGGCTATTTTTCATATTAAATGTGAATTGGGTAAATTTGATAGAAATTTAATTTAGTTGGATATTTTTTATTTTAATTATATTGTAATTCATTCTTAAACAAAATTCTGCATTAATAATTAAAAATTTTCATTTGTATTTAGTCTATTATAGCTGTCTAGCTCTTTTGGTAGCACATTCTTCAATCATGTCAGTAAAGTCCATTTCTTTACACAGGTCGTTTTCAATCGATATAATCAAAAGACCTACAAAATGCTCCTGGCTCACTGTAGATTCTCTTTGCTGCCCATGGCTGGTATTTGCCAAGCAGCATTGGTTGTTCAAAATTTTCATTTGTATTTAGTCTATTATAGCTGTCTAGCTCTTTTGGTAGCACATTCTTCAATCATGTCAGTAAAGTCCATTTCTTTACACAGGTCGTTTTCAATCGATATAATCAAAAGACCTACAAAATGCTCCTGGCTCACTGTAGATTCTCTTTGCTGCCCATGGCTGGTATTTGCCAAGCAGCATTGGTTGTTCCGCAGCCAGGCAGCATTGGGACTTGCGGGTACCAGGTGGAGTGTGGGTGTTGAGACTGGGGG